GATCTCTAGTGAATACACCCCAGGACATTGCTGCCGTTGTGTCAGATTCCTTTTTCTTTTACACAGACTTTGAACTTAAGATCCACCTGATGTTTTGTAAAGACTGTTTTTGTACTTCTGTCATTCTTTTAGTCCCATTTGATGTGTGCAGCTGAACGTTGGAGTGGTGTGATTGAGTTGATGTGTGCAGCTGAACGTTGGAGTGGTGTGATTGAGTTGATGTGTGCAGCTGAACGTTGGAGTGGTGTGATTGAGTTGATGTGTGCAGCTGAACGTTGGAGTGGTGTGATTGAGTTGATGTGTGCAGCTGAACGTTGGAGTGGTGTGATTGAGTTGATGTGTGCAGCTGAACGTTGGAGTGGTGTGATTGAGTTGATGTGTGCAGCTGAACGTTGGAGTGGTGTGATTGAGTTGATGTGTGCAGCTGAACGTTGGAGTGGTGTGATTGAGTTGATGTGTGCAGCTGAACGTTGGAGTGGTGTGATTGAGTTGATGTGTGCAGCTGAACATTGGAGTGGTGTGATCGAGTTGATGTGTGCAGCTGAACGTTGGAGTGGTGTGATCGAGAGGTGGTCAGTTTATTGACCACACATTAGGGGTGTACCTCAATAGTCTGACGTTCGCGTACTTTCCCTTCACCTGTTTTGATCAAGAAAAGGAGATGAGGGGAGGAAGCCACTAACAGACTATTGAGACACAGGGCTTCATTACTGACAGCATTATGGTTCAGTTGGTAGAGCGTGGCCCTGTAACACAAAGGGTGTGTTCTTCTGCCCAGGCGTTGCTGAACGCATGCCAGATCTTACAGCACCTGGATAGGTATTTTAGCTATCAGCTTATAATATAATAATAATAATAATAATATGCCATTTAGCAGACGCTTTTATCCAAAGCGACTTACAGTCATGCGTGCATACATTTTTGTGTATGGGTGGTCCCGGGGATCGAACCCACTACCTTGGCGTTACAAGCGCCGTGCTCTACCAGCTGAGCTACAGAGGACCACATCAAGTCGGTGACGTGGCACGCAACCGTTGGTTGATGCAGTGCAACGTCTGAGCAGGGGGAACACGACCCAGGATTGTGAGTTCAATTCCCAGGACCATCCTATCATAAAATGTATGCATGCATGAAACGCCTCGAACACACCTACAGCTTTCATTGCAAAATGGTACACAGCATCATCTGGGATATGTGTGCAACACAAGTTCCACATTTACCTTCTGCTACCATTACTGTCAAGCCGTCTACACATACAATTTGATGCATACGTTCGATTAATCCAATATATGCACCACACAGAACGCACTGCAACTGCCTCTGCAACGCAATGCTGCAAGGCAAACGCAGCGTTCCATTGGAAATGAATGTACTTCTGGTGTACCAAAACGGAACGACGCTATCAGTGTGACCGAGGCGTTACACTGTAGGTGTGATTGATGCATAAATTGCAAGCTTCTGCTAAATGGCATATATTATTAAATATTCTAAAGGGTCAGACCTCTTGACAAGGCCGTTCTGCTCTCCTTTGCTTCATTTTCATTAGAGAAAATAATTTTCATTTGCATCCCTCAGCTGGACCCTATTGGGTATAGAGACCCTGAGGGATGACTGCTCTGAGAGATGATGTCTCAGCTGGACCCTATTGGGCATAGTGACCCTGAGGGATGACTCCTCTGAGAGATGATGTCTCAGCTGGACCCTATTGGGTATAGAGACCCTGAGGGATGACTCCTCTGAGAGATGATGTCTCAGCTGGACCCTATTGGGTATAGAGACCCTGAGGGATGACTGCTCTGAGAGATGATGTCTCAGCTGGACCCTATTGGGCATAGTGACCCTGAGGGATGACTCCTCTGAGAGATGATGTCTCAGCTGGACCCTATTGGGCATAGGGACCCTGAGGGATGACTCCTCTGAGAGATGATGTCTCAGCTGGACCCTATTGGGTATAGAGACCCTGAGGGATGACTGCTCTGAGAGATGATGTTTGACTCATTTCTCTCTGCCTCCTTCTTTCCACTCCTCTCCTCTTTTGACCTCACCCTCTCACCGTCCCCCCCTACTCACAAGGCAGGCAATACGCTTGACCTCATCTTCACTAGATGCTGCTCCTCTACTAATCTCACTGCAACTCCCCTCCATGTCTCCGACCACTACTTTGTTTCCTTTTCTCTCTCGCTCTCCTCCCACACTACTCACTCTGCCCCTACACAGATGGTAATGCGCCGCCGCAACCTTCGCTCTCTCTCTCCCACTACTCTCTCCTCTTCCATCCTATCATCTCTTCCCTCTGCTCAATCCTTCTCCCTCCAATCTCCTGATTCTGCCTCCTCAACCCTCCTCTCCTCCCTTTCTGCATCCTTTGACTCTCTGTGTCCCCTATCCTCCCGGCCGGCTCAGTCCTCCCCTCCAGCTCCGTGGCTCGATGACTCACTGCGAGCTCACAGAACAGAGCTCCGGGCAGCGGAGCGGAAATGGAAGAAAACTAAACTCCCTGCCGACCTGGCATCTTTTCACTCCCTCCTCTCTACATTTTCTTCATCTGTTTCTGCTGCTAAGGCCACCTTCTACCCCTCTAAATTCCAAGCATCTGCCTCTAACCCTAGGAAGCTCTTTGCCACATTTTCCTCCCTCCTGAATCCCCCCCCCCCCCCCCCCTCCTCTCTCTCTGTGGATGACTTCGTCAACCACTTTGAAAAGAAGGTTGACGACATCCGATCCTCGTTTGTTAAGTCTAATGACACTGCTGGTCCTGCTCACACTGCCCTACCCTATGCTTTGACTTCTTTCTCCCCTCTCTCTCCAGATAAAATCCTGCGACTTGTGACTGCAGGCCGCCCAACAACCTGCCCGCTTGACCCCATCCCCTCCTCCCTTCTCCAGACCATCTCCGGTGACCTTCTCCCCTACCTCACCTCGCTGATCAACTCATCCTTGACCGCTGGCCATGTCCCTTCCGTCTTCAAGAGAGCGAGAGTTGCTCCCCTTCTCAAAAAACCAACACTCGACCCCACTGATGTCAACAACTACAGACCAGTATCCCTTCTTTCTTTTCTTTCCAAAACTATTGAGCGTGCCGTCTTTAGCCAACTCTCTTGCTATCTCTCTCAGAATGACCTTCTTGATCCAAACCAATCAGGTTTCAGGACTGGTCATTCAACTGAGACTGCTCTTCTCTGTGTCACGGAGACTCTCCGCACTGCTAAAGCTAACTCTCTCTCCTCTGCTCTTGTCCTTCTAGACCTGTCTGCTGCCTTTGATACTGTGAACCATCAGATCCTCCTCTCCACCCTCTCCGAGCTGGGCATCTCCGGCGCGGCTCACTCCTGGATTGCGTCCTACCTGACCGGTCGCTCCTACCAAGTGGCGTGGCGAGAAGCTGTCTCCGCACCACGTGCTCTCACCACTGGTGTCCCCCAAGGCTCAGTTCTAGGCCCTCTCCTTTTCTCCCTATACACCAAGTCACTTGGCTCTGTCATATCCTCACATGGTCTCTCCTATCATTGCTACGCTGACGATACACAACTAATCTTCTCCTTTCCCCCTTCTGATAACCAGGTGGCGAATCGCATCTCTGCATGTCTGGCAGACATATCAGTATGGATGACGGATCACCACCTCAAGCTGAACCCTGGCAAGACGGAGCTGCTCTTCCTCCCGGGGAAGGACTGCCCGTTCCATGATCTCGCCATCACGGTTGACAACTCCGCTGTGTCCTCCTCCCAGAGTGCGAAGAGCCTAGGCGTGACCCTGGACAACACCCTGTCGTTCTCCGCCAACATCAAGGCGGTGACCCGCTCCTGCAGGTTCATGCTCTACAACATTCGGAGAGTACGACCCTGCCTTACACAGGAAGCGGCACAGGTCCTAATCCAGAAACTTGTCATCTCCCGTCTGGACTACTGCAACTCGCTGTTGGCTGGCCTCCCTGCCTGTGCCATTAAACCCCTACAACTCATCCAGAATGCCGCAGCCCGTCTGGTGTTCAACCTTCCCAAGTTCTCTCACGTCACCCCCCTCCTCCGCACACTCCACTGGCTTCCAGTTGAAGCTCGCATCCGCTACAAGACCATGGTGCTTGCCTATGGAGCAGTGAGGGGAACGGCACCTCTGTACCTTCAGGCTCTGATCAGTCCCTACACCCAAATGAGGGCATTGCGCTCATCCACCTCTGGCCTGCTGGCTCCCCTTCCTCTGCGGAAGCATAGTTCCCGCTCAGCCCAGTCAAAACTGTTCGCTGCTCTGGCACCCCAATGGTGGAACAAGCTCCCTCACGACGCCAGGACAGCGGAGTCACTCACCACCTTCCGGAGACATTTGAAACCCCACCTCTTTAAGGAATACCTGGGATAGGATAAAGGAATCCTTCTACCCCCCCCCCCCCCCCCCCCCAATTGTAAAGTGGTTATCCCACTGGCTATAGGGTGAACGCACCAATTTGTGAGTCGCTCTGGCTAAGAGCGTCTGCTAAATGACGTTAATGTGCCCTTGAGCAAGGCACTTAACCCTAATTGCTCATGTAAGTCGCTCTGGATAAGAGCGTCTGCTAAATGACTAAAATGTTTTAAAAAATGTAAAAAAATGATGTCTCAGCTGGACCCTATTGGGCATAGTGACCCTGAGGGATGACTGCTCTGAGAGATGATGTCTCAGCTGGACCCTATTGGGCATAGTGACCCTGAGGGATGACTCCTCTGAGAGATGATGTCTCAGCTGGACCCTATTGGGTATAGAGACCCTGAGGGATGACTGCTCTGAGAGATGATGTCACAGCTGGACCATATTGTGGTCCTCTGTAGCTCAATTGGTAAAGCATGGCGCTTGTAACTCCAGGGTAGTGGGTTCGATCCCCGGTGCCACCCATACGTAAAAATGTATGCACACATGACTGTAAGTCGCTCTGGATAAAAGCGTCTGCTAAATGGCATATTATTATATTGAAAGTATTTTTCTTTTCGGTGACACCCCCCCCAATTTGACGTCATAACAAAATGGCAGCCCACTTGATCCGGTTGCATCACATTTCACTCCACGTTACAAACGTGGATAAAATAGCGTATGAACTTGTTTCTAAATTTAAGTTTAATTTATTTGTTGCGAGGCTGACGGAGAAGTCAAAACAGTTGGCTTTCAGGAAAGGAGCGGCAGTTTTCGTCGTCAATGAAAGACCAAACCTGTCCCCTCTTCAATTGAATGGAGAAACGCTATCGAGCAAGAGAGGGAATTCTCCTTCAGAATCGGAACCGGGATGGACTGACAACATTCAAACCGGGGAAAAGAACGACAAGGATTCGACATGTCTCTACGATGTCCACCCAAACTATTCCGTTGATACCGCGTCTAACGTCTGTTTCGAAGTAGAGGATGTGGAGAGGTCATTCAAGTCCCTTCGCAACCTTGGCTGCGATTTCCTGGTGCCCCCTACAGAGGTGTGTGACGAGAAGGGGCTTGTCACCTACTCTGTCGTCAAGTCAATCATGGGAAATGTGAACCACACGCTCATTGACACGAGTAAATACAAGGGGGACTTCTTACCCGGCTTTCAGGAGGTTGAAAACGTGACGGACAATTGCACACCCATGGCTAAGAGTACAGACTCTTGTCCAATCACTCACTTTGATCACATCACCTACGCTTGCCCAAGACGGTGCACATCTCAAGTGATGAGGTGGTATGAGAGGTACTTTGGCTTTCAGAGGTTCTTCATTGACAGGTTAAGTGGGCCTTTTTTTTTATGGTTCTACAATTGAAAATTATGAATTGTTAGATGATTATTGATCATGCATCTCAATACAATCTGATGCAGTGAATGTGCTCCGAATGTACTGTAAGTTATTGTGAGTATAGAACGGTTGTTTGGGTTGGGCACCAGACCTGTTAGTTCTGCGATGCCACTCCGTGTGTCATAAAGCCAAACATATGACAAGGAGTGGAATGATGGCACAAACCGGTTTGGTGCCCAGGCTACGCTATAAGGATAAACCGTAGAATTAGGCATTTTAATACTAATTTAATAGGATTTCTATGGGATCAACAATGAAGAAAAATAGATGCTCTTTCTGTAAGGGTTGTTGTTTTGTCTGTTTACAAATGTCCCACCTGGGACAATAAAGAAATTGATTACCTAATCTGTTTCCCTGAGCAGGAATGAGGATGTGGACGAGGGCTATGTTCTGAACCAGGAGGGCATTGGACTGCGTCTCACAGCCATGGAGTACTGGAAATGCAGTGAAACAGGAATCAAGCTTCCCTTCACAGATAAGAAAGAACCGGACTGCAAGTTTGTCATTGCAGAGTCGCTGCCTGAACAAGGTCATTACCTTCAAAGGGTTATACCGCTCATGGCTATTATATGTCTTTCCACGGTTCCTCAAATCCTCTCTTTGCCTTCACTAACCTGTTTTGAAAGAGAAGGTCAAAGGTCCCTCCCCTCTTCTTTAACGGGGTTTGAGGAGGTTAGGAGTAGAGGTTGACATGGGAGTGAAAATTCATTCCTGTCATGTCACTGTTCCCCGGGCGCCAATGACAAATAGTTCGATAACACCTGAGCGGCAAGTACAGCGCAAGTCAATCGATTTTTATTTCACTCTTCACCTCAGACGGCGCGGGTTTAGTTAAATACGCCAACAATTGGGCTCGACGGGAAAGTTGTTGGGAGTAGAGCAGCTGTGCCGATTTCAAGCCGCTTGTCCCGGTCTCCGTGTAACAGTGTTGCTTCCGTCCCTCTCCTCGCCCCTACCTGGGCTTGAACCAGGGACCCTCTGCACACATCGACAACAGTCACCCTCGAAGCACCGTTACCCGTCGCTCCACAAAAGCCGCGGCCCCCCTTGCAGAGCAAAGGGAAACAACTACTTCCAAGGTCTCAGAGCGAGTGACGTCACCGATTGAAACGCTTAAACATCGCTCTTTCCTTGGATTTAATGTTAGTGATGGGTCATTGGCTGCAACAAGACGTTGCAATTCCTCTATTGAAGGCTTCATCTTTTAGCCTACTAATGTAGGTAGCCCAGAGACTGGCTACAACTGGTGCGAGAGTGAGACGATGGGGGAGGGGGGAAATTACCATTCATTCTTTTTAAAAATAATGTTTGTTGTTGTTTTGATTAAATGCCCCAAAAAACAAAGTTCATAACTATTCCTGTACTGCCGGTTCCTGTAGACTGTTGATCCTGTCCCAAACATCATTCTAGAACATCACTCCCATTCCTGCCAGAATCCCGCGGGACCCGCAACACCCCCGCTGGAGTCCTGGACCCGCAACACCCCCGCTGGAGTCCTGGACCCGCAACACCCCCCGCTGGAGTCCTGGACCCGCAACACCCCCGCTGGAGTCCTGGACCCGCAACACCCCCCGCTGGAGTCCTGGACCCGCAACACCCCCGCTGGAGTCCTGTTCTCATGTCAACCTCTAGTTAGGAGAGATGCTGTGAGGAATCGATGGATGGACAGAAAGAGCCTATGCATTTACCCATGACCAATATATTTGTTTTATTCTAATGAATTACCACCTGCCAAGACCTGAATCATGTCTATCTCTGTCTGTGTGTCTGAATGGTGTCTGTTTCAGGCAGGAACCAGGTGGATACCTTCCTGGAGCAGCACAGAGGACCAGGGATCCAGCACATTGGCTTGTACACACAGGACATAGTGTCCACAGCACAGACCCTGGGTCAGGCGGGAGTCCACTTCTTCTCTCCTCCGCCTGCCTACTACACGGAGGTTTGTCTCACTCGGTCACCATAGCGCTCACTCACTCAATGGCTCATCCCAAATGGACCCCTAGACCCTATGCACTTGTGAAGATCTGAGAGGATTCGATTGGTAGAAGCAATATGGTGAAAACTTCCACCTAGCCTATCAAGAGGGCAAGGTGGAGCTATTACCAGATTGATTGCACCTAATAATTATAAATCATTTATTAAACTTTTTTATAGCGCTTTTCATAATAGAAATCTCCCTCACTCACTCATGTCACACTGAATCATGTCACTCTGTCACTCTGTCACTCTGTCAATCATGTCACTCTGTCAATCATGTCACTCTGTCACTCTGTCACTCTGTCACTCTGTCACTCTGTCACTTGTGACTGAAACGCCTGTGTGAGATGACCCATGCAGTACATTTTTATCATTCAAATGCATGAACCCAAACAGCCATCTGTAGCCCTACGTGTATCTACTGTTAGTTGTTTTGTGTAAGTAGGAAGTTGTAGCACGTTTCAACACTATTAGTATGTTGTTGTTGTTGGAGTTCCTCCCGACTACATTGCAGACGCATGCCAGTAAGGGTCGGCGTGAGGTGTGACCCAGGTGCAGTGCAGGATAGACAGTAGGCAGAGATGGTGAAACAAGGATCTTTACTGGTGGTCCCAAAGCCAGGGTACAAAATAACGGACTTGTCACCATTAAAATAAAGGAGGAGCAAATTGGTCTCCAAAAACAGGCCGACGGCAAACGTACGAAATACTAACTACGACTGACAACGACAATGAAAACAGGGAGAACACTTCTCAAGTACCTGTACATACGTCTCGCGATCAGACACTGATTAGTGCTGTTTTGGCATCGAGAAACTAGCAGAGAAAACTGAGCAAGGGAACACAGGGAAGTGAGGGCGTAAATACACAGGTGAACAGGTAGACACAGGTGAACAGGTAGACACAGGTGAACAGGTAGACACAGGTGAACAGGTAGACACAGGTGAACAGGTAGACACAGGTGAACAGGTAGACACAGGTGAACAGGTAGGCACAGGTGAACAGGTAGACACAGGTGAACAGGTAGACACAGGTGAACAGGTAGACACAGGTGAACAGGGAGACACAGGTGAACAGGGAGACACAGGTGAACAGGTAGACACAGGTGAACAGGTAGACACAGGTGAACAGGTAGACACAGGTGAACAGGGAGACACAGGTGAACAGGGAGACACAGGTGAACAGGGAGACACAGGTGAACAGGTAGACACAGGTGAACAGGTAGACACAGGTGAACAGGTAGACACAGGTGAACAGGTAGACACAGGTGACACCAACAGGATGATGATTAGTCCAGGCTGTGAGTGAGGAGGTGCCTAAGGTTGTCGGAGGATGACACCTAGTGGGTCGCTCCGGAACTGCGACCCCCCCCTCCTGTAACACATGCCAGATCTTACAGCACCTTGATAGGTATTTAACATATCAGCTAAACCACATCATATGACGTAGCCATCTGACGCCCGACTGCACAATGGATGACGTGGCACGCGACCATTGGTTGATGCAACGCCTGCGCATCCTAGTCGGGCAGGAAGTCAAGCGTTATGTCTACTACCACTGTGCTCATTGACCCCTGTGTCTGTCCTATGGCAGGTGGGTAAGCAGCGGGAGATGGAGGACGCAGGTTACGACCCCCGGATGCTGTCTCAGCATGGCATCCTCCTGGACACCGACCAGCGCCAGGCCCAGACTGACGCCTCCTGTCAGACGACAGACACGCAGAGGAAAAGGTACCAGATTCACTAGCTAGCCTAGAGGTGTCAAATGCTAGTGTGCCTCATGGACTGTCATGGTTTTCAATATAGTACTTTATTTCACCTCTGATGAGACCGCAGTATGTCTACTGCTCTGCTTCAACACAACACACAGAGTATAGAGACCAATCATTAGTCTCAAAACTACACCAACATCTCCTTTTTGAAATATGTTCTATTGATGATCAAATTCTTGGGTCTCGGTGAGACTATGGTGCCATTACCTTCAAGGAAGTGAAACACCCAGCGTCCTTTTTAACGACTGACTGAGGTCGAGGCTACCCAATATATCTAACCTATGTTTTCCTCTCTTCTCATTCCCTCTAAACAGATACCTGCTCCAGGTGTTCACCAAGCCCATCTTCTCAGAGGACACCTTCTTCCTGGAGCTAATAGAGAGGAGAGGGGCGTCGGGGTTCGGAGAGGGGAACATCCGAGCCCTGTGGAGGTCTGTCCAGGCATACATGGACACAGAGAGGGCAGAGACTGAGGCACAAGGAGAGAACAGAACCGAACCACAGAACACAACCCCAGAACTGAACCACAGAATACAACCCCAGAACTGAAGCACAGAATACTACCCCAGAACTGAACCACAGAACACAACCCCAGAACCGAAGCACAGAACACAACCCCAGAACCGAAGCACAGAACACAACCCCAGAACCGAAGCACAGAACACAACCCCAGAACCGAAGCACAGAACACAACCCCAGAACCGAAGCACAGAACACAACCCCACAACTGAAGCACAGAACACAACCCCAGAACCAAAGCACAGAACACAACCCCAGAACCGAAGCACAGAACACAACCCCAGAACCGAAGCACAGAACACAACCCCAGAACCGAAGCACAGAACACAACCCCAGAACCGAAGCACAGAACACAACCCCAGAACCAAAGCACAGAACACAACCCCAGAACTGAAGCACAGAACACAACCCCAGAACCGAAGCACAGCCACAACGCGTAACATTTTACCGCGAACGCTGCAGCAGAAGTGTAGTCCTTCCTCCGCTACTCTTTCCTCTGCGTGACGGCTACAATACATCGAGTTTCCCGGGGGGGGAAGATGTGAAGCGCTGGGGAAGCTTGGACGCCAGCTGTAGCCTATTGCGTGAAACAATGTTGTGTATGTTAACTATTGCATGATTGTGTTCATGAGTCTTATTAAATGTGTATGTTTACTGCTTTTCATGAAGTCATGTATGGCTATAAATATGGTTATCGCCTATATAAATTAATTCAAATGGGCAGAAAATTGTATGGCATGGCCTATATACATTTGTTCATATGGGCAGAAAATGGTACCCTAGGACTATATAAATTGTAGGCTATGTGTGGAAGCCAGGAGATGCTAAATGTGTTTATGTTAATTAACGGTCAATTACTGTGAGACAGGCAGTTATTTGCTTGACAATCACCGGCAGAAGAAATGTCATGACCGCCACAGCCCTAGGTGGGTAGCGCCAAGATTAGCCGAAAATGTTCGATACCAACCCTCCACTCCATTGTTGGTCTTCGCCAAGTCTTTCAGGACAGCGTCATAACCAGAGGCAGTCATTCACCCGTCATTCAGAGCCCCACCTGTTTTGAGCCCCACCTGTTGCCCATTTTGCATGTTATTTTGGCATTAATTAGTGTCACATATCAGTGAATAAAGCTGCATACAAACATGGTCTCTTTCTTGCTTTTTTGAGTAAGGCAGCTCCAAAATGCAGGTGTTTCAGCCTAGCTCAGTGCTTTCTGTGGTGGTGGGGCAGCCAGCCAAAATACAGAGCGTAGGGGTTGGTAATGTTCTCTAGTTGCACCGTGATTGGCTCAGTGTTCTGTCACTCATGGGGACACTACGTCACCGCATAATCTACAGGGAGAGCTAGGCAGTTCATGTCCCCTTGGGTGCTGCCATAGATTTATATTAGAAGTGCCCATCCAAGAAGACTCAAGGTCATTTGCCACAGATAAAATGATGTCAAATCACATATCTACCGTAGCTTTGATTGGACTGATCATGTCAACATCATACTTTCAAAATCTTAGCTAGCAAGCTAGACAAGAAGTCATCATCATGAATCACGTCAACAATCTACTGGCGAATTATTTTCAAATCCTTGTCATATGAAGATAAATTATAGATAAAACGTATCGGTGCTCATCGGGCATAAACATTACACAACAATTCGGAAATCACAAACTCAACAATGAGTGGTTTGGAAGGAATCAGTGGCTAACTGCAAGAGTTGCAAAACAATCACTATTTTGCTTCCCCTGCCTGCTATTCGGTGTAGAGGGTGTGTGGTCCAAGTCTGGGTTTAAGGATTTAAAACATCTGTCTCTTTTCCAGTTAAAAAGGATAAACATTCACACGCAACACCAAGGGCCAGAAAAGGTTGAAAACATTGGCCATGCTGTTAATCCAGCATAATTTATGCGGTATTCAAAACAACTGGAAACTTGGAACTGGGAAATCTCAGACTTCAATGAGTTCAGGACAACTGGGAACTCTGAAAAAAAGGAGCTCCGACTGGGAAAATACGTTTTGAACGGTCATCCAACTTGGAATTCCATGTCGGGAACATCTAGATTTTCCGACCTGAAGATCACTGACGTCATGATTCAACCTGTTTTTTCCCCTGAGTTCCCAGTTGTATTGAAAGCACCATAAATCCAGGGAATGCCAGACTTTGATGACAACGTTTTCATGACAAAATTTGCCCACAAGACGGACCGCCGCGCCACCTTCCTGTTCAAGTGAGCACAGCACAACAAGGTGAGTCCAAACATGTATTGTATGCTGTTGCATAAATTATGTAATATGCCAGGGAGATATGTATACTGTAGCTAAGAAAGTAATACTAAGTGTATGTTGTGTAGTAAGCTGTTAGTAGCCCATGTGCCTCATCCTAATAATTTGGTCCCTTTCCCCCCTCATAACGTAGCCTACTGTTCTGACTTGGTGGTGCACATCTAGCCTATAGCCTGTTTTAGAGAATTGTAATCATCGAATATTGTAAGATCTTTCATTGTCTGCTTATATGCCCCCTTTATTTATCCTACGGTTCTGACTTGGTGTACAGGGAGAACACTGTAAGAACGGCCCATGTTCTGAATTATGTCGCTGTACATTTCAAAAGTGCTGAACAAATAGTTATATTGACTCCGTTCGTCCCAGCTCGCTCATTATTATCTTAATCGAAATAACGGATTGCCTCTTATCCGCTCGTCGTCCCCGTATGCCATAGTTTGGACATCTCAATTGTTATATTGCTTATATAGGTCCATCTCATTAGTATCTTATTAATCATTTTAGGCAATGTTGGAATGATTTCACTGTTTTGCTTACTTAGTGTATTATAATTAGCTCATGTGCTTTTCTTGAGGAGGAGGGGATACTATATAATGCTGTTGGGTCTGTAACCATGAGGAGGGGATACTATATAATGCTGTTGGGTCTGTAACCATGAGGAGGGGATACTATATAATGTTGTTGGGTCTGTAACCATGAGGAGGGGATACTATATAATGCTGTTGGGTCTGTAACCATGAGGAGGGGATACTATATAATGCTGTTGGGTCTGTAACCATGAGGAGGGGATACTATATAATGCTGTTGGGTCTGTAACCATGAGGAGGGGATACTATATAATGCTGTTGGGTCTGTAACCATGAGGAGGGGATACTATATAATGTTGTTGGGTCTGTAACCATGAGGAGGGGATACTATATAATGTTGTTGGGTCTGTAACCATGAGGAGGGGATACTATATAATGTTGTTGGGTCTGTAACCATGAGGAGGGGATACTATATAATGATGTTGGGTCTGTAACCATGAGGAGGGGATACTATATAATGCTGTTGGGTCTGTAACCATGAGGAGGGGATACTATATAATGCTGTTGGGTCTGTAACCACGAGGAGGGGATACTATATAATGTTGTTGGGTCTGTAACCATGAGGAGGGGATACTATATAATGCTGTTGGGTCTGTAACCATGAGGAGGGGATACTATATAATGCTGTTGGGTCTGTAACCATGAGGAGGGGATACTATATAATGCTGTTGGGTCTGTAACCATGAGGAGGGGATACTATATAATGCTGTTGGGTCTGTAACCATGAGGAGGGGATACTATATAATGCTGTTGGGTCTGTAACCATGAGGAGGGGATACTATATAATGCTGTTGGGTCTGTAACCATATATAATGCGTTGGGTCGTAACCATGAGGAGGGATACTATATACTGTTGTTGGGTCTGTAACCATGAGAGGGGATACTATATAATGATGTTGGTTCTGTACCATGGGAGGGATACTATATAATGTTGGGTCTGTAACCATGAGAGGGATACTATAATGCGTTGGGTCTGTAACATGAGGAGGGATCTATATAATGTTGGGTCTTAACATATAATGTTGTTGGGTCTGTAACCATGAGGAGGGGATATATATAATGTTGTTGGGTCTGTAACCACAGGAGGGTATATTAAGTTGTTGGTCTTAACCATGAGGAGGGGATACTATATAATGCTGTTGGGTCTGTAACCATGAGGAGGGGGATACTATATCAGATGTTGTTGGGTCTGTAACCATGAGGAGGGATACATATAATGCTGTTGGGTCCTGTAACCATGAGGAGGGGATACTATATAATGCTGTTGGGTCTGTAACCATGAGGAGGGGATACTATATAATGCTGTTGGGTCTGTAACCATGAGGAGGGGATACTATATAATGTTGTTGGGTCTGTAACCATGAGGAGGAGATACTATATAATGCTGTTGGGTCTGTAACCATGAGGAGGGGATACTATATAATGCTGTTGGGTCTGTAACCATGAGGAGGGGATACTATATAATGTTGTTGGGTCTGTAACCATGAGGAGGGGATACTATATAATGCTGTTGGGTCTGTAACCATGAGGAGGGGATACTATATAATGCTGTTGGGTCTGTAACCACGAGGAGGGGATACTATATAATGTTGTTGGGTCTGTAACCATGAGGAGGGGATACTATATAATGCTGTTGGGTCTGTAACCATGAGGAGGGGATACTATATAATGCTGTTGGGTCTGTAACCATGAGGAGGGGATACTATATAATGTTGTTGGGTCTGTAACCATGAGGAGGGGATACTATATAATGCTGTTGGGTCTGTAACCATGAGGAGGGGATACTATATAATGCTGTTGGGTCTGTAACCATGAGGAGGGGATACTATATAATGCTGTTGGGTCTGTAACCATGAGGAGGGGATACTATATAATGTTGTTGGGTCTGTAACCATGAGGAGGGGATACTATATAATGCTGTTGGGTCTGTAACCATGAGGAGGGGATACTATATAATGTTGTTGGGTCTGTAACCATGAGGAGGGGATACTATATAATGCTGTTGGGTCTGTAACCATGAGGATGGGATACTATATAATGCTGTTGGGTCTGTAACCACGAGGAGGGGATACTATATAATGCTGTTGGGTCTGTAACCATGAGGAGGGGATACTATATAATGCTGTTGGGTCTGTAACCATGAGGAGGGGATACTATATAATGCTGT